CTCGAGCGATGTTACCGCTTTCGTACACCCGAATGGCGGCGCGAGAGTCTGTTAAGACATGGGTGTGTGAGGGGTTGATCATCGCTAAGGATATAGCAACCTGCTCAGCTATGGCGCTGGTTTCTAGGCTAACCAAGGCGGCTGAGCGTAGGGCTCCGTCGTCATCTACTACCGCTTTTACGAAGGTGAATGAGTTATTGTAGTGCGCCGCATCAACAAAGACGGTGGAGTTGCGATTCGCAGCGGTACGGTTGAGTATCACGCGAGCGCGGGCCAGGCGTCTTCCTTTGTTGTGTTGCGGGTGAACATTTCGCGGAAATGGGTTTACCATGTAGGTAGCGCGGACAGCTCTGGGGAGGGTTACTGCACGTTCAAGGTAGGGATGTAGGTACATGCCGGCCTCGCTTAGAAGTTGGGGGCCTGCCTTGGAGGAGGAGAGGCGAAGCACTTGGGCCGTGGTTTGGGCCTCGATCACTTCATCGATGTTGTTGTGCATGCCGAGTTGATCGAGACGGGAAGTGCTGGTGTTTTGAGGTAAACCAAGGACTTGTTTAATGCTTTTGCAGATGAGCGTGTTCAGTTTTAGCTTTTCCACCTTCGTCAGCTTACTAAGCCCGCAGTTTTGGGGATAAATGTGGAATTCTTTTCTCTTAGGAAACACTCACTGAAAGTCCAGCGCTGTCATCGTTGGGCTGCTTCCGAAGTTTCTCTTTCAGGAAACCTCGCCTCGTCAAATGTCCGCACTCCAGTAAGAAAATTCCTTTGCAGTTAGCACGTCGGCCACTTACACGCCGCGACTGCAGAACGCGTTTTTTCCCACTGGTGGTAAACACTCTCTTCCTGCTTGTAATATAAGCCTTCACCCGCAGGTGGAAAACCTCTTCATCTCATCTGCTTTTCACTAAACACATAAGCCTTGGCCTGACCGCGGAAAAACTCTCTTGATCTCCTGCTCTATGCACGCTGGCGCAAAACTTTCTTCATCCGCTTATAACAACCATCCGCTGCTCCCTTATATACGTTCGCCCTGGGTTCTGGAAGCTTCTTCGGCGCGCTGCACAGTGAAAGCTGGGAAAAAGCCGAGACTCTTGTCGAACTATTCGCGACACGTGACGATACCAGGGAGAGCTCCGCACTTTCCATCTCGATGATTCTGGAGGTTACGCGGTGATATGTGCGAGGAGGTTGGTCAGCGTAGCGATGACGCTTTTCGAGGGGGAGAGACGGCGCACCCGAGGAGTCCATTGATGCTTGTTTTCTTCTTTTACGCTGGATTCTGGCGCGTCCGAGCAGCGCCTGCTATCGTCGCCGTCGCTGGAATTTGGAGGCGCGCGCTTTCTTGAGCGCTTGTTTGTGACACCAGCAGCGGGCTATAACCGCTTACAATAAAAACGTCACGTCTGGCTACATGGCTTTATTGTATACAGACGCTTCGAAAAAGGTCAACTGACATTCTTTAGACAGTGCAAACACTTCTGCATGAACGCTCAGATATTTTACAGCCCTAACAGATGGCACGCTAACCCAGCAGTTTATTCATCAAGGCGCTCGTAGAAACTTCACCTTGTAGGCGTCGCGTTCAAGCCTAAACTACATCCAGTTCAACGCCAGTAGTTCAATTTTTATAACGTCACATGGCTTCTACTATAGGTCCCAGATCAACAAGGGGCAGGTTTCCCCCAAATCCCAAGGCATTGAAAGCGTAGAAAAGTTTTGAGCAGCGTTGAGACTATTATGACGATGCCTTGACACTACGCGAGAGTAGCATGTTCGCCCCATCAAACACGCAAATGACTGCTGCTGCGCACTCGAAACAAAGTCCTAGCGCCGTCTCACTACGCTGCCATGGATGACGAGGAGTGGCGCAAGTGGCGTTGCAGGCGCGAAAGGTCGATGGTGCTCGTGGTCAGCGCAACAGATAATAGTCGGCGTTTTCATCTGGAGGTCTTCTGTCTATTCTATTCCGATCACAATGTCTACACCATGGTGCGGAATGGACACAACATGATGGTTTCGCCATTTGCTTTCTTAAACGCTCTGCATATCTCTCACCGAAGGCTTTCAAAACCTCTAGGCGAACTAAAGTGGGTGACTGCGCTAGTTTGTTATTCATACTCAAAATAAAAAACGCAAAAACTTCGGCATACCGCACGCCTTGTGGAAAGAGATTTCATGTGAAGCAGTAGGCGAGTAATCATCTATACAGCAATTTTTTTACTTGAACCAAGTATTACGAGGTTCATAGGTATGTTTTTGTAAGTGAAGTAATCGTGTGCTCATCGCGGGCTTACCACAAACGTTGACGACACTGGCGTTCAAATGGTAACTTATGGTCTGACGTAACATAAGCACTTACCTTAGAACACAGACGTCAGTAAAATTATGAAGTTTTTGAATAGGGGCCCCAAAAGCTTGGGGCCCTAAAGTTTTTTGCGTATGCACGCTTTGGGTCAAGCAGGAGCGAAAAGTTTTAGATAATGATCGTCAGCGTATTGGTTGATCCCCCTATTCTAGGTCACTAGTCTTGGTCGAGAGTCGTCACTTCAGTGGGTACCTTCACTTTTGTCTACGGGAAAGCTTTTGGGACAGGCCTTGAGTATCCCCACTAAATTCGAGAAATAGCGTCCCCAACGCAAAACCCGAGCCCCATTTCGGTCCCGCGCATTCTCATCGGCCTTGAGGCTATATTAGGGGGCCCCAAAACGATTGGAGGATTATTCCAAAGCTCTCTATTGAAACGACGTAGAATTTATGATGCTGTGAAGTAAATATCATCTGTAACTCATTCATTTATTACTCCGGGGCCGATCAACGCTTGAATATATCAATAGGAGTCAGAAAAACGAATGAAATGTTTAGTAGGCTGCTGTAAAAGCGCAGCCGAAACCAGAACCAGTATTGAAGATAACCCGGCAAGAAGCCTGTTTCATAGGAGCACATGTAATATTTATTGCTTTGTTATGCTTTGTGTGTGCTTATTGCTCTGTTTGTGTTTAGTTGTTTCTGTCTAGGTATCGCGCTTCTACTTTATTTCACCAAGAATCACCGATTCGCCCAATGAACCATTTTGTTACAAGACTATATTGCCAGAAGTTCAACCACATTACACCTGCATATGTTTTTTTTTGAAAAGCAGTTTCAAGGTCTCGCATAGCTCTGTGATATCTATCTATCTATCTATCTATCTATCTATCTATCTATCTATCTATCTATCCATCTATCTATCTATCTATCTATCTATCTATCTATCTATCTATCTATCTATCTATCTTTTTATTACGCACATTGTTTTGATTCCTTTGTCGACATTACACCTGCATAGGGTCAGTTTGCAACGGAGTTCCAGGCATTGACGTCACTCAGTGGTAGAATGCTGGGCTCGTATGCAGGGGACCAGAGTTCGAATCTAATTGTATCTTTGTTTTTTTGTAACTTAGTTGTTTCTCACTTTGTGCGATGGTGCTCACGGACACCGGCGTTGGCAGTGACACTGACAGCGGCGGTGGTGGTGGCGGCGGGTAACTACGGTGCACGCGATCCTTGTTGCAATCTCATGACAACTTTCGCTGTAAAAGCATGGCCACAAAAATCAAGCAAGTGGTTTTCTGTGTATTTGTGTGCTTGCATTCCGTGGCCATCTATTCTTTGAATTATTTAGCACATCTTTTTTTTTAAACAGTGCACGTGAGCTTGCATCATATCGGCATTATTGATTATTGTTAATTAACAGTCTGACAGAAAATTACGAGATCGCATACATTACAGCCTGTCTCGCCGCCATGTACGGACCACATGAAGCATATGTACTCCAATATACGTTTAAGTGATTGCTATTCAATTCATCTATTTTGCAACACCAATAAAAGGGCACTGCAAGCTTATTTTTGCCTTAGCTTTCAGGTTTTGCTGCCTTAGGGTTTCATATTAAGTGCAAGGGCGTTAACATCGCCCACTGCATAAGGACAGCCGTTGATTGCGCTAAAGTGCTCAGGCCATCTTCCGTCTCGAAAGGCACATGCAGAATTCGAGGGTGTTGGAGTGGGAGAAACTGAGGGAATGGCTACATGGCTTGGGCTGGAACTGCATACATTAAGTGGCCGGGCGTAGTCGTACACACTTTATTGTGAGAAGGATGTACTTCCTGAGCAGTCACTTCTCAGTTTACGTTAAAGCAGTAGGAGCATGCAAAGGTCGTTTCACTTGCTGCAGCCACCATGTTTCCTCCGCCAGCTTACTGTTGAGTTACGCGTGACCAGATGCGATATGAGTCAGCTGCCAGGCTGACTTCGTATACCATTATAATTTACTGTTATTCAGTGTTTCACCAATTCGGCAAAACTGTAACTTTGTTTTGTTATCGCAGTACGTCGTTGTCCTCATCTTTGACACTGAGCTCAGCACTGGCCTCTGAAATGACTCAAATGCAATTTTTTTCCAGGCTTTGTTTAAAGTGCACGAAATTAAGAAAATACCGAGCGATTGCCACCTAACGCGCGGCATTTTTAGGGTCCTCACGTATAAGCTCAAGGAATTATTGAAGACTGCTCACACACGAAGGTCACCCGAACACGTTATCGGTAAACAGTATTCAATTATTCTTTGAGCTTGCATGTGAGGGCACTAAAAACGCCTCGCGTTAGGGGGAAATCACATGGTATTTTTGGAATTTCGCGCACTTTTAGAAGAGGCACGTAAAAATTAAGCAGTACAGTTACCTTATCGCAGATTGAACACTTCTTCTCTGGTTAAGTGTTGTGAGTTCTGTACTGAAGATTTTTCTCTAGAGTAACTATATAAAAAAGTTCTTGTTAATTGCCAAGCTTGGCGGGTCGGAAAAAAAAACATTCTGACGTGCTATATATCGCTCAGAAGAATACTGCTCTACTTAGAGAGGTGTAGCGCTCAGGTATATTTTTTTCTTACCTGGTGCTATTCAGATGAAACTCCCTGTAATAATGTTCATTCTATTTGTCTACAAAACGTGGTCGTGTCTTTTGCAGGAATTCGCAAGCCGACCAAGAGATTCGTGGCTATGTCGCCTTATGCAGCTCAAATGGGACACAAAATTCGCAGTGACTGGTAAGGAGGCGCATATGTCGTGGTTCATACAAATGTCACTGTTAGGATGGAAGCCTGAGTTTGCTCAATGCCGCGGCATCGTGAAGCAGCTGGGCCCGGCATTGACGATCACCTCTGTACAGAATATCTTCGGAGAATTCATCGCGGTTGTTTCAGCGACTCCGGAGGCTCCGTTTCAAACGCGCTTGGTGCACCGATGTTACGGGAGACCTGGACTTTTGTCCTGGCTCTGGTGTCAGGTTGCAGAACGTGGCATCAGCAACATGGTGAGTTTGTGCATCAAACAATACGAGCATGTGACTTCCAGTCGCTGAATAATTTACTCCGAAATTAGGAGGCACACGCATGCCCTTCGTCGTCCCCGTTGAGGATACGTTGCTTGATTCGTCACTGAGAGGATGGTTGGCAACGCTGAGCCATTCCACGCCATGGGACGGCATAGCCACGAGACGCTCACGGAGCAAACCGTCAAGCGTTGATTGTTCGCCAATTGGTTATGAGAATGAAACTTAGCCTTGAGGTGTGCGGACGTGGGCATGCTTGTGTCTCGTGTTGCGTGTTTCTTGCACGACGACTGATTCACCGTGCCTCAGCTGCACGGATATTCGCATTTTTTTTTCAGATCAAAAAAAAAAAAAAAAGAAACGAGTGGGATTTATGGAGCTCAGTTTAACTTCCCAGTTATAACCATGGCCATCTTCAATTTCCTAAGCGCTATGTATCCCATTTTGGTTCACTAGCCCCTGACATTCCCTAAATCACCACATGCATAGCTGTCACCACTTGGAGCTCATATTGAACAAACGACCCTTTTGTTTCAAAGTGACTACCTTTGAATGCCCCTTAATGTTATCATGTATAAATAGTGTATGCATGGACCCTGTGTGGATCCAGTTCCGCTACTATGCTTTCCAACGCGGAGGTGTAGAGAGAGGAAGAAAAAATAGTAGCTCTTACTTCATCATAAAAATGTGGGCAAGTGATGCTGGACGTTTGCGTGCCTGACCTACTACTTTCTTTCTTTCTTTCTTTCTTTCTTTCTTTCTTTCTTTCTTTCTTTCTTTCTTTCTTTCTTTCTTTCTTTCTTTCTTTCTTTCTTTCTTTCTTTCTTTCTTTCTTTTCTTTCTTTCTTTCTTTCTTTCTTTTTTTCTTTCTCTTTCTTTCTTTCAACTTTTTTCTTGCTTTCTTTCTTTCTCATAGTGCAATGCTCCCTTCTAACTCCTTCGTTCCTCTATGCCGTAATTGTATTTTAACGAACGTGCTTAGCAGCACAACATTTATGTTGCCACGGGCAACAACATCTACCATGCGTGAAACAATGACAAGCATCAGCAGTGAAGGACAATAGTGCAATGTGGCAACGTGAAAGGATAACTGACCTCATTGAAAATGAGATTGCCGCATGAGAAACCACTGGCTGCCGAAGAGCCTATGATCAAGACAACGTCGCATATCGGAAAAGGGAGAAAACGAATTCAGATATGAAAACGGCACCCTTGAGGGTCTCATTGGTGCACACCCGTACTTGTGTGCACTCGCCGTTGCTGTACTTTTCGCGAACTAAGCCGCTGCTCCAGCCTACAAGGAAATCTGTGGCTCAGGAAAGCTTCGCTAAGAAGTTAGTTGTGTCCAGTCGATTCAGTCCAGAAGTCTGTAATCCAAAAATAATGTACCCTTTCTTTTACCGCAACCACCCATGAAAAACAAAGACGTCTTGTTGCAATGTTCCGTTACAGTTTCAGTGTATCATATTTGTTTGAATCTTTGTTACTTTGTTCTGTTGGACGTAACATTTACAATGCGTGTTTACTTAATACAGACCTAATTGTCATAATAGACATTGAGCTAGCTGATCAGTCTTTTGAGTCGTTGGTTTTATTGACTTACCAAAAACAGTAAGCTAGAGCCAGTTGTAAACTAAGAATAAATATGAAATCCACCTACAGAGTCAAGGCATACTTCTCAACCACATATGTGAGAGAATAATAAAAACGGGCTTCCTTTCGAATCGTAGGTAATTTTTCTGCGATAATGCAAATACCATTCTAGTAAAGAGGAGAAAGAATATACGCTTGGGCGTCTGTTGCTGTGCGCGAAGTTTTCTTGCCGGACCAGTACTATTCTGACCGCAGAATTGTCACTGCTTCCTCAAGAAATTGTCGTACCACGTTACGCATATCGAAACTGAAAATATACATTGTTGCTGCCTAATATATCACCTTTGGCAAAGCTGTGATGATAGCACAATCTCTGAATAAAGTTGACTGTGCATTGAAGCCTTCAATTTATAATCAGCGTCACGAACTGTGACGCTCTGTGGGAACACCGAGGACGTAAAACAGCCGAATATTGCTTGACGTCACAGAAATGGGAAAATCTGATTTTATGGATCGTCTATGCAAATTATGTCTGCGTGGCCTTTTGGTGAAGGTGGCATTTATTCTTATAGGGGTCCTGCAACACTTTTCAAAGTAGCCCTGGAATGAAATCACAAAGAAAACTTGTTACCTCATGAATTCACCACCACAAAAACATTTAGATTCCGTCATGTACGAGCGTTGTTACAAGGATTTGTCGAACGCGGCCATTGCTTTCTCTCTTCTCTCGCACCGACTAAAGTGCTGCAAGCTGAGCAGAGTGGTATTTCACGGGACAAGAAGGTAATTAACGCGTGTTTCGGGACTGTATGTATTTTTTTCTCTTTTTTTTTTGGTCCCAATAGCTACCGAGTGTTCCATAGTAGAATCAGCCAATGGCGTAGTACTCAGGCCTGTGAAGCAATGCTTCTTTAGTATATAGCATACAGGAGTATATGGTATACAGGAGTAAGACTATTCGCAGTGATATGTGCGACACTTTAAGCATCAACAGCTACATTCCCCAGACCAAACTCGCAGCCTCCCTTCGGGACTTCACCGAGGTAATGCTACCTGACTCTGCAGGTGGGTGTCGCATTTACTTACGCGTATACGCGTTCCACATAGGAATTATCGACCCTGCAGCTTGTGACTAGTGCAGCGGCGAGGAAACAATTACCAATATTGCCACGCGCGTTCTTTATTTTTTCCTCTTGTTTTAATCAATTTTTGCCCACAGAGGTTGTCAAAATGCTCAGTGCAAACTGTGCACATTGCTCGAGAAGGTTCTTAGTTATTATACACGCGAACACTCAAGATTATTCCAGAGGTTGTGCGACGACGGGTGAAAAGGCTGGAATATTCGACGGCACGTGTATAAATGGCGACGCGCTTCGCCACTTGTCAGATGATCGACGGCCGACAATCTCCTCGCCGCTGCAATCTGTCTTTCCGTTTACAGGCAAGTTCGGCCAAATAAACAGTTTCATTTTGAAAAAGCCGTCTCCACTTTCGTCAGCGTCACGACTGCGGGACAATATTCTGTGAGAATGTTCACAATACTATTCGCAGTGGCAGTCATATTAGAGTGCGCTCGATTAACCAGATGACCTATCTATTTCGGAAAGAAGAATCCCGTAGAATACACCGCACTTATTGCGACAGATTAGGATGTTCAGGTGCTACTGCCATGTCTGCGTTCAAGTGGTCTCCGAACGACTCTGACTGTAACGGCCTGCATAAAATCATATATATATATATATATATATATATATATATATATATATATATATATATATATATATATATATATATATATATATATATATATATATATATATATATATATATATATATATATATATTGATCTAGTTTGTATTTCTCAACCCTGCGCTAGGTAGCTAATCGGTTCTCTTACCTGATTAACCATCCTGTTTTTTTATTTCATCTATTTCTCTCTATTTTATTAAACCCCTGTTGGGCTCTTGCGGCTTGACTCATCTTTGTTGTGAAGCTGCCAGCGAGTCTTAAAGGAAGCAGTTGACAGCCTTGTATCCATGCAACGAAAAAACGCTAGTTCTCACATGTATATACCAAAAAACATCTAGTACATGTGATGTTTTAGCCCTTTAATCTAAAAAAGAAACAGCCAATGTCTGCTATGGCAGAGGGACAACAAACGCCTCCTTTATGTAGAAGTTATGTGGACGCATGTAACCCATGTCAAAGTTTTGGAGGCTATGCATAACAACGTAGTTTCGCACTTTCGTTACTAAAACAGCCAAGACTTGTCGGGACACCAGTTAAAAGGATCGTTTACGTTTTTGTTCAGGTACTTCAACGATAATAAATGAAAAAAAGACTGCTCTGCGGAGAAACCCACACCCAAATTTTTGTAATTAAAAGTAAATCGTTTTTATATCTCCCTCTATGGTTCATCGGAATAAAAGTGAAATTGTCACATTGATTTTAACGAAAATAAACAAATCACTTGTTTTTAAATGTATGTAAACTGGTAACTATTTATTTTTCTTGAGATAGGCTTCTTTACCAATGTCGATATCCACACACATCTCATCTTCCATCCCCTCTAGAGGTACTGGAACTTAGGAGGAACGCGTTGAGTGGTAGTGTTACAAATGCATTTCTGAAGTGGTCCGAAAGGGTCGAAAGCATTAAGATCCCCACTTATCAGCTTAATTTGCCCTATAATGTATACCGATGCTTGAGACCTGTGTCTTGACTTTGATTACAGTGATGATTTAATTAAGAAACTTTCTTCAAACAAATATAACTCTCTTTCTCTGCGCCCCACGCTAGGTAAAAACAAGCAAGATGTGTCTCTGGTCCCATCTTTGCCCATTTTACATCGCACATTTCTTGTAAACGCCTCACTTGTCACTGCAGGCTGCCTTATTACCATATAAAGCGCACACACGGCCATACTGCAGTACTCACAGCTGTACTGGCATGTGGAAATGATTTATTTAATATTTCCGATGCGAACGAGTACTTAATATCGTTTTTGCAGTCTCTGTTAGATTCTAACGCACTTGTCTTTTTTATTGTGTGAGCAGCTATTAATAAAACGAGCACGTGAAACTGGATTTATAAGATTACGAGCAGAATAGGCTCTGCAACTCAGACCAACAAAACTAATTTCGCTAATTACGTTAAGTGCTTGTTGGCACTGAGATCCCTAAAACAGTCACAGCTTTGCCACAAAGGCAAAACAATGAACATGAAAGCAACAAGTTGGAAGGTCACGTGCAGAATGGCCTGCAGATCGAAACGTGCCCCGCGTTTCTCACGCACAAATGACCCACGAAACGTACTCTCAGGTACAGATGAACGCTAATAAGTATCTCAGTTGTTACTTCGCTGTGTCTGAAAAGTGCGCTCTTTTCGCAAATGTAGAGCGTGCAACGATTGCAGTGACCTTTGTGCGCCCGGTAACTGAAAACGAATCGTTCAGGTAAAAGTGAAACGCCACCCAAGACGTACTATCCTTCCTACCGCGAGATAAAAGCGCGCGAGTGAGCGTCGACCCCCTGCTCTTTGCAGGGGGTCGACGCTCACTCGTGTGCGCCTCCCAGTGTGCGCCTCCCAGTGCACGCCTCCCACGCGCAAAGTGCGCGTGGGAGGCGCGCCGTGACGATGTTGCTATACGCGCGCTCAATGCGCCATCTTGCTGGTAATGCTATCTATCTATCTATCTATCTATCTATCTATCTATCTATCTATCTATCTATCTATCTATCTATCTATCTATCTATCTATCTATCTATCTATCTATCTATCTGTATAATCACCTACGTCTGGGTGTTCTTGTGATAATTACCTCTTTAACTTGGGGTAAAATAAAATTAGTATTTGAGGGTAAGATGATTGGGCGAATATTTGGCCTCTCCAGACTTATGTTGTATTTGGTTATAGTCAGTTCTACTGCGTGTGATTTAGGCAGTTTGTCTATTAACCAAGCAGACATGTGTTCCCTAATAACCGGGAGAAAATAAATCCTTGTTACTTCGTTTGCAGAGTGACAGAGACATCGCAGTATGGAATCGAAAAATATTCAAGACGCCAGTATTGGTGGATGAAGATAAGAGCATTGAAGAATTCAGAGAATGGTATACGCAGTTTTACAGCAAAAACAGTCCGACATGGAAAGAAGTGAAAGAAAAAAGTTTGTCCTGGTGATACAGGGACGTTTAATTGGGAAGAAAAGTAGCTGTGTTGTGGTGCCATTTGTATTGTATTTTTTTCAGTCTTTTGTTGTGATAGCAATTATATACCCACTCTCGGCTGATTTTCGCTGTCGGTGTCGCCATGTTTCTCCGCCGACATCCCCCATATAGCGATGCCCTTTATACCCCCCCCCCCCAAAAAAAAAAGAAAATGCGTACAAAGAGTAAGCATGAGCGGTACTATTTCTGGACACTTATTTACAACCCTCTATAAGTCACAATATAAACAATGAAATAAAAAATATAAATCAAAAATAAAAATCAACAAGGTAATGTAATTGGGGTTGGATTAATGTAATGTCGCGAGACCGGAACTTTAGGCACGAAAAAAGAATGTTTTAGGCACCTATAATAGGCCCTAAAAACTGCCAGGTAGGCATAAATAGGCTATAAAAACTATTGTTTGGCATATATAGGCACAATTCTTAATTACTTCAGTAGCGTGTTCAGGACAAATATTGAACTCCTAGAAAACGCAGCAGGCAAATTATGTGATTTGGCAAAGCTATTTTTTTTCATGAAAAGAATTAACAAGACGCATAATCATTTCTACAGATTTATGTGAAAACTGAGGTAATTTGACACTGTGGGAAAGGCTGTGAAAACAGCGACTAACGAGCATCATCTCACGGTTTTCGGGCATAGATTGTGCTTGCTTTAAGTTAGAATTTTTTTATGCCAAAAAGAACGTTCGACGTCCACTGAAGTTAGTGAAGCGTACTTGTCACTTAGCACTTCAGTGCTTTATTTGCATCGAGAATATCAGAATCAGCATCACTCGAACCTTTCGACACTTGCTTTAGCACAGACAATCCGGGATTCTTTCCAAGACAGATTCAAGCTTTCAGGCAACCCTAGCTGTCAGCGACTGGTCTATCAGGAATGGGGTGAACCTTTCCTGCACATTCGAAAAAACTGGGAATCCGCAAGCTTGCCTTTAAGCGTTGAACGCAACAGCGATATTGTGTCCCTGGTGCGTACTTCTACCATTTAGTCCACACTTTTTATTGCATGATGTTATTAGAGAAGTTGAATTTGTGGATTACTATGCAGTGTAGGCGATAAAGTAGAAAGTAGCTTGTATCAGTGAAGCATCCGCATATGGCTGCATTCTGTGTAATAGGTGCACGCGAGTTCACAGATGCGGATATAAATGTAAAAAAATGAATATGTGTGCCCGTAGAATGAGCACTAAATGCATGTTATTTGAGCAGGTTCAGGAGATATTCAATGAAATTGGCAGTTGCGTAAGGAATGTTGAGAGCTTTATGCTTTTGCGTGCTTCAAAATGGACACCAAATTGAATTGATTGTTGACCTCTCCAATATCTTCTCCTCCACATGGAACGTTTCTCGATCGACGGAGTAGCGCAGTGATTCACTGTTCTGTTGCCTGACAAGTACGCTTTACGGCTCCTTTTTATTCCGCATTGCTCGGCAGATTTCCGACAGCTGCCGTTATGAAGAACATAAATGCCAACCAAACTTACGTGTAGGCTTTAGGTGGCAACGCTAGCCTAGCTTAGTTTCGGGTGATTTGAGTATGTTATAGCTACACTTTACTTGAGCCTCCCAAACGCAACCACCGAGATGCGATACACTCGAACCTATCGATGGGGATCTTCAAGGGGCAGGGGGTGCACTAGCGTTAGCCTTTCCTCGCTTCCCTACAGTACACTGAAGCCAGGCTTCCACAACGGCTATGCTGCACTACTCTCGAACCAAGCAGTGGAAATTTTTTAGGGGAGCCTGCTCGAGGGATAGATGCTAACCTTGCTGTGCCTTGCTGGGGTATAAGCCCCACTCACGTAAAAGTGCGTTTTAGTGCGACGTTATCGGAGAGCTGACAAACGTCACATGCGTCCACGGTGCAAGGTGAGTGAACTTAGGTGAGTGAACGACGCGAAGCGAGCGCTTGTCGGCGAGGGACCGGTTATGTTCTCGTTTGCAGCGTGCTGATAGATGGCTCGTCGGACTGAGTGAGAACCGTTAAAGTCCCTTAATAGAGAAAGTAGCGACACTCTCCTTCATATCATCTCCAAAGTGTCCAACCCTCCTCTCCAAAGTGTACAACCCTTCTCTCCCAAGTGTCCAAACCTTATCTATATCCTCTCCAAAACGGCCACCATGCGGACGCCGGCCCTATAACCAGGCCCGCGCCACTTTCCTATCAAGAATGCCACGTCAAGCTGATAGTGCGCGCACCGTCTATCCATCGCCACACATCTATCCATCGTGCCCCTCCTTTCACTATCACTGGGCGTCCGGTATAATTCCAAGTCACGCACAGCACGTTCGTTATCAGTGTGACGTGAGTTCTTGATAGAATAGTGACGAGATCCGGGTACGACGAAAAAATAAACATAAAAAAGCAAAAGGTTCGCGCGTGTTTCCCGGGCGATGGCCCGTGTAGCGGAGAGCTGGAAGGTGGGAGAGGAGGGTGCTCGGCGTGGCGGCGGCAGTTAAAAGAAAAACGGTACTTTTCCGAGAACATCCAGGGGCCTTAAGGACCGTGGCGGTCTGCTGGCAAATTCTTGAAAGCACATGAGCGACGGTTTTCAAATCTGTGAAAACCGGGTAATCGTGAGATATCAACCACGCGACACGCATAGAGCGGCGCCGCAAAAGAGGGTGATAAGGGAGGAGGTTGACGATGCTGTGGCGACGATAAATGCGCACCGCTACTTTCCTACATCACGGGGCTTTCCTACACCGAGACGGGGAGGAGAAGCCGGGCATAAAGCCCCTTTTTACCGGGGCAAAGTTTCTAGCGTCATCTCCCAGGCTCCTAGCGAAGCAGAACATTATCGGGCAGCGGACTGTCCCGGCGTTCGCTCACCTGGAGAATTCTGGCACCGTGCATGCATCGGAGCGCGTTGGCCACGTCTAGATATACGTTGGCTGTGGCAGTGCATCGACCTATGATCGGTTTTTGCCGACATGACACAGCGTATGCGCATCGATCTTACGTCGAACCCTATCCGCACCTTACCAGGAGCTAAAACATGAACGAAGAAAAAATACTAGCGCTCTAGGCACATGTTGTCTTTAACATGGCCACATCAAGTGCTGCTTGTTTCCCTCCATATGAACAGCTCATTTGAGCGAAACCTCTACCCGGTGAACGTAAAAAGGCATTTTTAGGTGCTGAAAAGCTGATATAGGCACGAACTTCAAAATGGGCACTTATAGGCACAATAAATGTGCGAATAAAAGGTTTGCCACCACTTAGTTTGTGTTTATATGCATAAATAGGCTCGAAATGCAGTCCAGGAAAAATAGGCATTTCGCCTAAAGTTCCGGTTTTTAGAATATCATTGTTCAGACAATTTTAGTTGCAAAACCACAGCTCGCTTGTGGTGCTTGCAGAATGATCTTGAGCTGCTAAGATGACTGGTTCTTTCGATAAAAGTTGGGCCTGACTATTCTTTCTGCAGAGTCAATTGAATCCCAGAAACCTAATAATATAAATACACAAGAATGAATGACCAAAAGCCCCGCCCCGGTGGTCTAGTGGCTAAGGTACTAGGCTGCTTACCCGTAGGTCGCGGGATCAAATACCGGCTGCGGCGGCTGCATTTAAGGTGGAGGCGGAAATGTTGTAGGCCCGTGTGCTCAGATTTGGGCGCATGTTAAAGAACCCCACGTGGTCTAAATTTCCGGAATTTTCCGATACGGCGTTTCTCATAATAATATGGTGGTTTGGGATTTGAAAGCCCACATATCAATGAATGACCAAATGTTTCACAGAGTGCGACATACAGTTTGCACTCTCCATGACTAACTGCTTTCTTAGTTAGGCGTAAGTATAATTGGAGCGCATAGCAAGCATAATGATTGGCATCGGGCTCCACTGAATTGAGAAATGCTAGAAAGGGTATGCTACACAATAAACTCTTTAAAGAGCACGCTGTGGCAGAATCTTTATAACTGTCCTGACTTACAGATATGAACCTTACTTCCCCGTTGTAGCTTGCTCGCGCAGGCTATAAGAAAGGTGCAACTCCAAGGCGCTAATGTTTCATTAGCTGTATGCATCAACAAAGTCTAAGTGAATATTATGTTGCAGGCTTAAGTACGCATTCACACAGGCAAATGTGTGTTTCTGCAGGTCTACCATGGCATTCATACAATTTTTTAAGAAACACAAAGCGACGCGCAACATATAAATATTTCATTTATGTTGCACAAAAGCACAATGCTGCTGAGCATGTATACATGATGGTACGCTCATTCATAAGGTATTCAGTGCACTTAACATGTAAAATAAGTAATGTGTAGTAATCAGTTTAATTACGAATAAAACTAGTGTTCTTCAGGTGGATAGCATAAACACGATTAGATAATGTAATAAATCGCAATTTTTTTCGCTCAATGACCAGTGCACACTGATAAATTAGGGTCTTTAGTTTCAATGATGTTAGTAAGCTACGAAAGCAGAACACCTTTCTGATGCAGCATAGGCTGGCTAGTGGCTGCGTGTTAAAAATAAAGTGGAAATGCCGATACTTACAAAGCACTACTCATGAACCCCGCGCCAACACAATGTGTACGATTATCTGAAAATCTACGCAGCAGCTTGAATCCTGAAGGTGCATGACCCCAATTTTGTAATACACAACAATCATTCAGTGAAACTCATTCCTGAAGCTCAGATATCGAAAAAAAGCATCATTTATTGGCTTTGCTCTCAGAGAAGTCTGCTAGCTATCGTTACACTTTATGCATGGATGCTGTGTAGTATGTATATTATTAAAGTGTGTTTGTTCAAAAAAGAAAACTGATATGCTTCGAAATAAGCAAGTTAAACGCCAAAGTGGGGCGAGGCGAATAAAACTCTGAGTAAAAAGAATACTAGGAAATTTACACATGGTGGAAACAAGCGGAATAAAATCAATTTTGCTCGAACGTCAGCACTTAGGCTCAAACTAGTGTTTGCACAGTTCGGGTAAGGCATGCAATTGAGCTACGCACGCAGATGAAAGCTCTGTTGAGATGCAAGTCCAGATTAATGGTTGGCTACACATGCACGGCTGCCGCCATTTGTCACGCAACCTATAAGT